ACACACACACACACACACACACACACACACACACACACACACATACACTTAAAACAATAATAACAAGGACCTGGAGAGCGAGGTGGTGTACACTGAGAAGCACTCGGGAGGCAGAGGCAGGAGGATCTCTGTGAGTTCGAGGCCAACCTGGTCTACACAGTGAGTTCCAGACCAGATAGGGTTACACAGAGGATTCTGTTCCAGGATAGCCAGAACTACACAGGGAAACACTGTATTTGAAACAAAACAAAACAAAACAGAGAGATGGCTAGAGGTTAAAGGCATCTGTCACTCTTGCAGAGGACTGTAGTTCAGCTACCACCACCCACATGGCTGCTCACTACCTGTTACTCCAGGTCTAGGGAGGCTAATGTCTTCTTCTAGTCTCCAAAGGCACCAGTCACACACATGATGCACATCCATACATTCAGGCAAAACACTCATAAACATAAAATTTAAAGATAAGTATTTTAAAATAAAATCTCTTTTAAAATGAAAATAAATAAAATGCTGTTAGAGCCGGTTGCAGAGAGAGACATCTGCATCATGCCCAGCTGAGGCAGAGAGATCTTCAGCCCTGGAACTCAGGCCGGCCAGCCTGGGCAGCATGGTCAGATCGTGTCTCTAGAGAGAAAAGCAAAATAAAAATTAAAAAGTTAAAATGGAGCTAAGGATGGTGGCACACACCTATAGTCCTAGCACTTGGAAAGTTGGGGCAAGAGGTTCAGGAGTTCAAGGCTGGCCTCAACTACACAGCAAGGTCAATGCCAGCCTAAGCTACACACACACACACACACACACACACACACACACACACACACAATTGTGTATGAGGCAGGGATTGAGAGGTGACTCCTGTGACCTCTTGCACGTGAGGAAGGCGAGGTCCTAAGACCCTACCTTGTCCGTTTTCTACCTCTTGGCTGTCCTTGGTACACCAATGGGTTCTCTTGCAGGAGTGTACCATGGCTTAGTAAGGAGGGCCCACACAAGAAGTACCTGGGGAAGCTCAGCCCTTGAGGCAGCGGTTCTCAGTTTGTGGGTTATGACCCCTTTGTGGGTAGTATATCATATCCTGCATATCAGATATTTACATTATGATTCATAACGGTAGCAAAATTTCAGTTATGAAGTAGCAATGAAATCATTTTATGGTTGTGTGTGTGGAGGTCACCACAACATGAGGAACCTGTATTAAAGGGCTGCAGCATTAGGAAGGTTGAGAACCACAGCCTTAGGGCAACCATCCCCCACCTTTCTGAAGAAATTGCTTAAAGTGCTCTTAATGTGCCTTTGGCCAAGGCTGATGGCAACTGCCTTGGAGTACACCAGTACCCTCTTCTTCCCATTTTACAGATGAAGAAATGGAGGGCTGGGTCAGTCAAGCTGAATCCAGCTGGGTCTCTCTGACCAAACCCAGCCCACAAGGGAAAAGGTGACTATGATGAACAGGACTGGGATTTTGCTCTGGACTTGAGAGTCTGAACTTTATTCCTTAGATAATAGGGCACCAGCCCTGGCTCCATAGCCCTTCTCCCCACTAGTCAGACCTATTTGTGTGGTTTGTTGGTTTTCCTCTAATGGAACGTGAAGTAGGTGGGTGGGAAAAGGCCTTTGTTTTGTGCATTGCTGGAACTTGCTGGAACCTTCTAAGGATCCAGTAAGCATTTAAGGGAAGGAAGGGAGGCGGAACTGAGAACTGCAAATGAAGCATTTTAATCTTACTTAACGTCCAAACAGTGTCTTGAAGTAGAGGCCAAACTCCTTCACATGTACCCAGATAAGGAAAGCGAAATTCAGAGAGAATGACTTCTCTGAGGTCACAAAGCTAGGCAAGTGACAAAGCCAGCACTCACGCATAGCCTGCCTGGAATCCATGACTGCAGGAGCTGGGCATGGCGCTGGATGATAGAGAGGAGCTAGAAAAAGCCAGTCTGGCTGAAGGATGGGGAAAGATGGAGTGAAGAACCTTGAGGCTGAGAAAAGAGACCAGTCAGGTTAGGTAAGCATTTAGACTACGGTTCTGTCTCGAGTAACTTTACTTTTGGTTTGCCTTCCAATTCCAGGTCTCCACAGCTGAAGCTGTGGCCCCAAAGGCGTCCAGCCTTGGCCAATCATCTGCCCCTGAGGTCATAGACCACACTCCCATGTCTTGCCTCTGCTTGCTTTGGGACAGACTCTGTATAGCCACCAGGCTACCACCCTGGAGGTGAGCGCCATGCACGGACCTCAGTATTCCCCATGATGCCTCAGCCTAGTTTCTCTTCCCACTTGGACACGATGTTTGCCAATTCTTCAGCCAACGCCTCTTCTACCAACAGCTCTGTGCCCCAGTGCCGTGACTATCGGGGTACACATCGTCTGCATATGGTGGTCTACAGCCTGGTCTTGGCCACTGGTCTCCCTCTCAATGCTCTGGCTCTCTGGGTCTTTGTGCGTGTGCTGCGTGTGAACTCGGTGGTGAGCGTGTACATGTGCAACCTGGCAGCCAGCGATCTGCTCTTCACCCTGTCACTGCCCCTGCGCCTCTCCTACTACGCACGGCACCACTGGCCCTTCCCGGACTTCCTATGCCAGATGTCGGGCGCCATCTTCCAGATGAACATGTACGGCAGCTGTATCTTTCTGATGCTCATCAACGTGGACCGCTACGCGGCCATCGTGCACCCGCTGCGACTGCGCCACCTGCGGCGGCCCCGCGTGGCGCGGCGGCTCTGCCTGGGCGTCTGGGCGCTCATCCTGCTGTTCGCCGTGCCCGCCGTCCGCGTGCACAGCCCGTCCACCTGCAGGCACGAGAACATCACCGTGAGCCTGTGCTTCGAGAGCTTCAGCGATGAGCTGTGGAAGGGCGGGCTGCTGCCGCTCCTACTGCTGGCCGAGACGCTGGGCTTTCTGCTGCCCTTGGCCGCTGTCGTCTATTCGTCGGGCCGGGTCTTCTGGACGTTGGCGAGGCCCGACGCCACCCAGAGCCAGCGGCGACAGAAGACCGTGCGCCTCCTGCTGATCAATCTCGTCATCTTCCTGCTGTGCTTCGTGCCCTACAACGCCACGCTGGCCGTGTATGGGCTGCTGCGAGCCGACCTGGTGGAATCCAGCCTTCAGGCCCGCGATCAGGTGCGCGGTGTGCTGATGGTAATGGTGCTGCTGGCCGGCGCCAACTGCGTGCTGGATCCGCTGGTGTACTACTTCAGTGCTGAGGGTTTCCGAAACACCCTCCGCAACCTGGGCACCCCGCTCCATACCAGGCCTTTGGCTACCAACGGGGCGAGAGGGGTGCTCACCGAACCACCCTCAGAAAGCACCCAAAACACTGGGCTGGATGCCACCAGTCAGGGTCTACTCCAGCCCGCCAATCTGGGAACACCGGTCATCCAGGGCCCCCAGGATTCAGCCCTCTGAAAGGACACAGTGTCCTAGTGTAGGCTTGCGCCACCCTCAAAGGCTTAGGGTGTCCATTTGAGGGAGGGGGGCTGGGAACTTGGACTTTGAAGGCACTCCAGTCCCGGTGTGCAGAAGAAAGCAAGCGTGTAAGCAGGGGTAGAGGAGAGGGAGTGTGCTGCTGGTGAGAGCCATGGGCTCCGGCTTTGATGCAGAGGACCCTGCTCCAGTATGTAGGAAGCCATGGAGTGAGCATGCCCGTGGCTGAGAGCTGGTAGGTGGAACAGAAGATGGCTCTCCCGGATTTAGGTCATCAGTCGGAGAACTGAAGATTCCCTGACCTTGGTGAATCAACTACACAGAAGGTCATCTGTCATCTTCAAAAACCAAGCAAAACTCAGAACCTGGAACCCGCTGCCTGTGCATGCTGGGCCACCACATTGCCACTCAACTCCACCCCCCAGCCCCACCGGTGCAGCCTTCCGTCCTGACTTGAGGGCCATGGCCGCCAGGCCACCAGCCCTCGCTTCCGCTTGCCCTCCCTGCGCAGCTGGAGGCATGATACAAAGGTTTATGTGATACGCTTGACACCCAGTATGAGGAGGATGGGGAAGGGCAGAGCTGTGTGTTGAGTCCCCAGAAAACCCTAGTTCTTGGGTCTTTTCTGGTCGTCCTTTGTCCTTCTATCACTCTCTGGGCCTCTTCCATTCTGTGTCTCCCTTCCTCCCTCTCCCCTCCCATCTCCTCCTCCCCACTCCCACCCCTTCTACAGACTGGCCTTGAACTCTTTTTTGTTTAATTTTTTTTTTTTTTGTGTGTGTGTGTGTGTGTGTGTTGTTTTTTTGTTTTGTTTTGTTTTGGAGACAGGGTTTCTCTGTGTAGCCCTGGCTGTCCTGGAACTTGCTCTGTAGATCAGGCTAGCCTCGAACTCACAGAGATCTGCCTGCCTCTTTCTCCTAAGGACTGGATTAAATGTGTACACCGCTAAGATCAGCTTTGGCCTTAAACTTTTTTTTTTTTTTTTTTTTTTTTTTTTTTTTTTTGGTTTTTCGAGACAGGGTTTCTTTGTGTAGCATTGCTATCCCGCCTGGAAGAATTCACAGAAATCTGCCTGCCTCTGCATCCTTGGATTAAAGACATGCACCACCGCCGCCGCCGGGCTTGGCTTTGAACTCTTGATCCTGTTTCCGCACTTCCTAAGACTGGGATTAGAAGCATGCGCACCATGCCCAGCTGCCATCAATATCTTACAGAATTTGTATTTTCTGAGAAAGACTCTCTCTACATAGCCAACACTCTGCTCCTCCCTCTCCTCACTCATTCACTCCATACCCGCTCTGTCCTCCTGGTCCTCCTCCCTGTCCCCTCCCTCCCCTCTCCTCTTCCCTACCTCTTCATCTCCCCTCCCCTCTCCTCACACCTCCTCTTCTCTTCTCTCACTCCCCTCTTCCTCTCTGACCCCTAACATTTTTGCCACCAAGCATCAATGCTCAAACTGTTTGGTCTCTGATCCCTTTATCCAAACTGAGGGACCTGAAGAGCTTTTGTTCTTTCTTTGGTCTCGTGATGCTCGCCATGTTATAAATCAAGGCTAATATGTTTCTGAAACATGGAGATACAGAGGCACACACTGCATTTCACTGAGAGCAGTGATGTCATCACATTTCAGGAAACTTCTGGAAGCTTCCCTATATGCTGGTGAGAGAATGATTGTGAAACTGACAAGGGACATGTTAGTATTATGAATATAGCTTTGGCCTCGAGGACTTCCTCAGAGAGCTGGTCTCTGGATCACACTTTGAGATCACTTGCTCTGGAGTATTAGAGTTCACGTCTAACTTCCCCTAGGACAATATTTGTATGACTCTGGGATGAGGGCATTGATCAGCTAATTGCTAATTGTGGTTCCTACGGCTCAGGACTTGCTGGAGGACAGGCTGGAACTGTACACCTACTGTAACATTACCTTGGGCTTTACCAGCGCAGCAGCCTGGAGGTGGGGAGTCGGGGTTGGGGGTCGGGGACGAAGCCAGACACACCAATACTCAGGGCCAGGGGGAGCATTTCTGGGGAAGGAAAGGCAGCAGTGTTTGCCAGGAGAAGACTGCACAGGACGTAAGGGAGATGGCAGGTTAGGAAGTGCCTGTCCGTAGCTCTCCGTAGCAAGCGGGAGGCCAGCAAAATGGTGTTCTTCCCTCCTTCCCCAGGCAGCGGCTGGGTTGCTGGGAGGGTTTGCAGAGCTGGTGCTGTGACATTTAAGACGCTGACATTGAGAACTGTCATGTACGTGTCCTAGAAGCATTATGTCCCTGTGTCTCCCAATACAGATTTCCCAAGCACTTGGGTTTCAGTTAAGATTTGGGCCTTTTGTGTCTTTAGGAGGGCTTCGATTGCTGATTTACAGTGGTAAAGTGACCCCTGGTGGCCAAACCAGGGAACTGCCCTCACTTCCTCCGCGGCGGATGGAAGTGGGATGCCCACCAGCCCCTTACCACCAGCTGCTCGCTCTACAGAAGGCCTGCGGTCAGCATCTGTCCCCAGCTCCTCAGGACCCAGGGTCTGTGCTCTTCCTGACAGGATAGCAGGAGCGGCATCAACCCTCTTTGGCTGAATCTCAGGACATTGCGCTCCACAAACAGCTCAACAGGACCTTCGAAAGTTGTAGGGGTGAAGGGGTGGATGTAGCTCAATTGGTAGAGTGCTTGCCTTGAATGTGCAAAGCCCTGGGTTTGAAACTCAGCACCACATAAACCTGGCCTGGTTGTTGTATGCTGGTAATTCCAGTGCCCAAGGAGTGGAGACCTGGTGGCACACCCCTTTAACCCAGCACTGTAGCAGCAGAGCCAGGCAGTTCTCTGTGAGTTTCAGGCCAGCCTCGTCTACATAGAGCGTTCCAGACAGCCAGGGCTATATAGAGACCCTGTATGAAAGAAAGAAAGAGAGAGAGAGGAAGGGAGGGAGGGAGGGAGGAAGGAAGGAAGTAGAGGCAGGAAGATGAGGAGTTCTAGGTTGCTCTCAGCTACATATTGAGTTCTGGGATGCATAAGACTGTCTCAAAGAAAAAGTTCCCAGCTGAGCTGTGGGGGCCTAGGCCTCTAGTTCCAGTGCTCAGGTGGCAGAGGCAGACAGATCTCTGTGAGTTCAAGGCCAGAGAGGTCTACATAGTCAGGCCAGCCAGAACTATGTAGTGAGACCCTCTTCTCAAAAAAGAAAAAAAAAAAGTACCTTGAGGGGTCTGATGTGTGCATGCCTATAACCCCAGCCCTGTGGATACTGAGGCTGGAGAATCATGGGTTTGAGGCCAGCATTTGCAAGTTGCTAGGTGTGCTCTCCAGCACTACAAATACATTGAAAAGTGCTTTTATATTCAGGGATTGAGCGGATTCCAGAGTAATTAAAACAGCATGTATCACCTAACAGACCATACAACTTATTTATTCTAATCGTTGTATGTATTATCTATCTTCCGCCATCTCCCTAGGTAGAATGTAAGCTCCTTGGCGGGGGAACAAGGACTTTTGTTTGCTTGGTTCACTGATGTATTTACTGGCATCTAGAACAGCGCCTGGCACAGAGAAAGTACTCAATAAAGACTCGTTAAATGAACCATCAGATCTTGTCAAGGGCCTGACTATCTAGTGGAGACCACTGGGTGACAAGAACTATAATGTAAGACGAAGATAAAGGGGAGTAGAGACGGCACTGGCAGTTACCTTAGGGGAGCCCCTGAGAGCTGCCCCGTGAGGTGTGCTCACAGACATACTTGTAGGACAGAACTGTGGGGAATCGGGTAGGGAGGTCTAAAGAAGAGATCAAGGGCTGCAGTGAGGAGAAGTAGACTCAGGCCGCAGAAGAAGTAGATAAAAGCAGGTTGTCTCCAGCCTGAACTAGGGTGTCAGAACCCAGAACTGTTTCCAGACATTTCACCACCTCAAGAACAGAGGCAAGACTAGATAAATGAGGCCTTGTAGCCAGTGGGTTGTGGCCCATGCCTTTAATCCCAGTCCAGCACCTGGAGGCAGAGGCAGGTGGATCTCCATGAGTTCAAGGCCAGCCTGGTCTACAAAGCAAGTTCCAGGACAGTCAGGACTGTTAACACAGAGAAACCTTGCCTCAAAACAAAACAAAAAGGTATTGTAGGCATCGGGAAGGAACAGCACCCTACAAGTAACAGGCTGTGGAGATTTACGAAAGCCCAGATCTCTGTCATTAGTGCCCCAACCCCCGTCCCCCACCCCACCCTCACCCTGCACCCCCTGCACCTGTGCTCTGGGCCTGCCCCATTTAACACCAAGGAGCGTTCCAAGGAGAAGAAGGAGAAAAATCTTAGGCAAAAATAAGAGCAATCGCCAGATGTGGACTACTCTGGAGGCTGGGCCAGGAGGATTTTATGTTCAAGGCCAGCCTGGGCAACTGAGTGATACTGTCTCAAAATAAACGGGGATGCGGACAGTTTTTGCCAAGCATGTGCCAAGACTTGGGTTCCACCTCCAGTGTGGAAAAAAGAAAGCATTAAGGGGTTGAGATAAGAGAGTCCTGCTCCCTCTCCACAGAAGGAGCTCTTTTTCTGACGGCTGAAGTACTGTGACGGCAGACACCTGCCGTTCCAAACTACTCTGCCACCTATGGCAGGAGCATTCAGAACTCAGGGTCAGCCTGGACAATAAGACAAGACCCAAGCCATCGGTGGTGCCCAGGACTTTAATCCCAGCACTCGGGAAGCAGAGGCCGGTGATCTCTGAGTTTGAGGCCAGCCTGGTCTACAGAGTTCCAGGACAGCCAGGGCTACACAGAAAAATCTTGTCTTGAAAAACAAACGAAAGACAGAAAAGGCCCTATCTCTCAATAAATATATAAGCAAATAAATTTTCTGTGCACCAGGATTTCAGTATAATGTTTATAATTCTCTCTCTCTCTCTCTTTGAGACAGGGTCTCTCTACTTAGCGCTGGCTCTCCTGGTACTCACTATGTGACCAGGCTGGCCTCAAACTCACAGAGCTCCTGCCTCTGAGTCATGAGAGCTGGGATTAGAGATGCTCACCACCACACATCCGGCTTGCTGGTTTGAGACAGGCTTTTGCTCTGTATCCCAGGCTGTCTTTGAGCTCTTGGCTCCTCCTGTCTCAGTTTCTGAAGTGTTAAGATCACATGTGCTCCACCGTGCTTTTCTTTTTTCAAGACAAGGTTTCTCTGTGTAGCCCTGGCTGTCCTGGAACTCACTCTGTAGACCAGGCTGGCCTCGAACTCACAGAGATCCTCCTGTCTCTGCCTCCCAAGTGCTGGGATTAAAGACGTGCACCACCACTGCCCGGCTCCACCATGCTTTTTTAGGGAGCCTCATCTTATTTAATTAGTACAGTGGCTTCTGAGTTATGAATATGACTAGCCCCATTTCGCAGAGGTCTAAACACTGGAGTATCTGAGATCTAAAGGTCACAGGAGTAGGAAGTGGCTCAGCTCAGTCTCTGTTTCCCAAACCCTGACTTTCCTCCAGCCTTAGGAAACTTAGCACCCGGTTCAGTCACATGCAGCAGTACCATTCCCAGCCACTTTTCTTCGGCTACCTAAGGCCTTGCCAGCCCATAATACTTACCTCTATTCTATCTTGGGTGTAACAGTTTTCTCTGGGACTGAAACGTCCCGCCTTGCAGGGAAGCTCCTGAAGCAGGAAAGTAAACAACACAAAATAGTTTCAGGAAGTCCTAAAAGCTGACCAGACTCACTAGGCCTCTCCCTGTCAGAGTAAGCCACAAAAGCTGAGAAGGACCGAATGGAACGGAGCTCTAAAGACCCCCCGGACCGAGCTAAGGCAGCTACCTGAAAGAAGGAGAAGTCAGCTGAGCTGCTGGAGGGGGTTTAGACCCACCGAGTCACTTGAAGGGACACCGTCCAGCCTGCTGAGCGGCCTGCAGGCTGTGCAGTGGGCTCCAGGTTCCCAGCTTTGGGAGCTGTCACCATGCTGGGGTGGCTTTGGTGATGCCGCCGTCTTTGGGTCGGTTCTGCTCCTGTAAGCGACCCCTCATCCAAAACCCAGTGGTTCACCAAGGTGGACTTGGGTGGTCTCCACACTTAGTTCTATCCTGGGCTCTTTATCTGGGGTGTGTTGCTTCGCCCAGGAAGATATGCCACACAGCCATCCTTGGTTACCTCTCCCCCCCTCCTCACAGAAGCCACCTAGCTCTTCTGCTGTCCTGTCCCACCCTGAATCTGCCTCATTGTCTCTGTACTGCTCTTCTCAGATCTTTCTCCACCATCCTCATCCACCTAGTGGGTCCTGCCCCCCCCCCCCCGACTCCTCACTTTACACTTGCCTCGGAACTCTGTGCTAGACACGGTGTGGCTGAGTGAGGGCTGAGAACTGGACTCGTTCATGTCCCCAACTGCGTGGTTGCCCAAGCATACCCCCACGGAACGGTCTGCAGTAGCTTTTCTTCGCCAGTGGCACACAGAAGGGGTTGACTGCCTGCAGGTGGCCATGACCCTCTCCCCAAGTCTGAGATGTACTCATTTCTGTGACAGTATTCTTACATCCTTGGTTC